CTCCGGCGATCCTTCCACCTCAGCCTTCCAAGTAGCTGGAATTACAGACATGCGCTACCATGCCCGGCTGATTTTTTGATTTATTGTAGAGGTGAGAAAAGGACCAATCTCGTAATACTAATTGTTGGCAAAAAACTGATAAAGGCCACGCGTGGTCACTCACACCTGTAATCCCAGCATTTTTGGAGACTGAGGTGGGAAGATTTCTTGAGATCAGGAGTTCCAAACCAGCCTGGACAACATAGTGAGACCCCCATCTGTGCAAAAATACTCATGGCCACCCCAGCATTGGCCTGCTGGGCTCCAGCAATCCTTCTGCCTCAGCCTTCCAAGTAGTCGGAACTATAGGTGCATGCTACCATGCCTAGCTAATTTTTTTTAATTATTTTTATTTTTTATAAGGTCTCGTCAAGTTGCCCGGGCTGGTCTCAAGCCCACAGACTCAGGCAATCCACTCGCCTAGGCCTCCCACAGTGCTGGGATTACAAGCTGAGCCACTAAACCCAGCTGCAAAAAACTTTTTTAAAAAATAGCTGGGTGTGGTAGTCCCAACAACTCAGGAGGCCGAGGCAGGAGGATTGCTTGAGCCCAAGAATTGAGGCTGCAGTGAGCTATGATTGTGCCACTGTACTCCAGCCTTGGTAACAGGGCAAGACTCTCTCTACAAAAGAAGTAAATAAATAAATAAAATAAAAATAAACAAAAGGAGCAATCCTTATTGAATAAAAAAATAGAATTAAAAAAAAAAAACTAGTTGGACTCGGTGGCTCAGTCAGTAATCCCGTGCTTTGGGAGGCTGAGGTGAGTGGATTGCCTGAGCTCATGGGTTCAAGACCCGCCCGAGCAACTTGGCAAGACCTCATCTCTACAATAAATCAGAAAATTAGCCGGGCGTGGTAGCGCGTAGTTCCAGCTACTTGGAAGGCTGAGGCGGAAAGATCGCCGGAGCCCAAAGGTCGAGGCTGCGGTGGCCGGGAGCGGCCACTGCACTCCAGTCTGGTGACAGAGTGAGACTCCAACTCAAAAAAAAGTAAAACTCTTGGCCAGGCTCAGTGGCTCAGCCTGTAATCCCAGCACTTTGGGAGGCTGAGGCAAGTGGATTGCCTGAACCTGCAGGTTCAAAACCAGCCCGGGCAACTTAGTGAGCCCTCGTCTCTACAATAAATAAAAAATGAGCTAGGCATTGTAGCGCGTGCCTGTAGTTCCAGCTACTTGGAAGACTGAGGCGGAAGGATTGCCTGAGCCCAACAGATCAATGCTGGGGTGGCTGTGAACATGCGTGCCACTACACTCTAGCCTGGACAATAGACTGAGACTCCAACTCAAAAAACAAACAAACAAAAAAAACCTCTCTTACTGTTAGTTATAAATACGTAGGGAAACATGCTGACATTTACTTGGTATGGTGTCATTGGAAGCATTGGAAACACCAGGAGCTAAAATGTTTTATTTCTTTGTGAAAACTTGGCAAGAGTTGTCAGGATGGCCCCTGGCACCTTCTCGCAGTATCCCTTACAGTCGAGCAACATCTTTCTGTGCATAGGCGAGCTGTCCTATTCTTTGTCCACGTTGACTTCCCATGCTGGGCTTTCACACCTCCAAAGCTTGAAGTATCTTGAGAGTCCTTGGAGCGGGATGGCTTCGCCAGCGTAATCCACCATGACACCCTCATCCTTTTGCCACGACTGCTTCCTGCTTACACTGCTGTTTGTCCTCACTGATGAGTGCCTGATACACATCCGTCAGGCAGAGGTGCTGTCAGCAGCCCACACTTCCATTCAGGTTGACCTTCAGCATGGCCATCTCGCTTCTTTGCCGTGCTTCCGTCCGTGTTGGCTGTTGTTCTCTTTTGATGATCCATTCTTTAAAACGTCACTTGGGTCTGTGACTAGGCAAGAAGGCGGTGACGTAACTTCATGCTCTGCGGTCTTGAGGGTCACTGGTGGTGACATGGACTGAGGAGCATAGCGCTGTGTGCGCGTGACACAGTTGCAGTCAGCACACGGTGTGCCTGAATTTCAGTCGTGCCATGGTGGGATTGGTCTTTACTGAACAAACTGAGGTGACCGCAACCCCTTGGGTGTCAGAGCTGTGCGCGCCAGGACCGCCCACGCCTGCTTGCTGAGTAGACGGAGGCTTACAGGCAAAGTCACGTGCCTGGGACCCCGAGCGTGGTGGGCACCAGACCCAGAATGCTACCACCTCCTCTTCTGTCCTCCAGGTACCACAGCCCATGTGGGCATCATGCTGTATGGGGCGGACAACCAGAGCGGCCACCGGCACCTGGATGGTGACAGAGCCTTCCACCGCAACAGCCTGGACATCTTCCAGATTGCTACCCCACACAGTCTGGGCAGTGTGTGGAAGATTCGAGTGTGGCATGACAATAAAGGTCTGGGGGGGGATCTTCCACTGCCCCTCGGCCCCACCAGCACCCTGCAGCCCTCACCTCCACCCCATCCCCCTCCACAGGCCTCAGCCCTGCCTGGTTTTTACAACACATCATCGTCAGGGACCTGCAGAACGCCTGCAGCACCTTCTTCTTGGTCAATGACTGGCTGTCAGTGGAGACAGAGGCCAATGGGGGCCTGGTGGAGAAGGAGGTGCTGGCAGCAAGTAAGGCCTCATCCGTGCCTGGGCAGGCTACCAGGGGTGGCCCCGCCACTCAGTCTCCTGCAGCCCCGCCCGGGCGTGCTCTCTTCCCAGGCGATGCGGCCCTGTGGTGTTTCCGGCGCCTCCTAGTGGCTGAACTGCAGCGTGGCTTCTTTGACAAGCACATCTGGCTCTCCATATGGGACCGGCCACCACGCAGCCGCTTCACCCGTGTCCAGCGGGCCACCTGCTGTGTCCTCCTCATCTGTCTCTTCCTGGGTGTTAATGCCGTATGGTACGGGGTTGTGGGAGACTCTGCTTACAGGTAGGTGCCAGTGGGGGGCAGGACAGCTGCTCTGCCCAACTCTTCTGCCCCTTCCAGCCTAACCCGGCCTGGGTCTGCTTTCTTCTGCCACACAGCACAGGATCTGTATCCGGTCTGATGCCCCTGAGTATGGACACAGTTGCCATCGGCCTGGTGTCCAGCGTGGTTGTCTATCCCATCTATCTGGCCATCCTGTTTGTCTTCCGGATGTCC